ATACAAATTGATCATATTATATCAAATCAATCATTTATACTGAAATAAAATTGATTGATATCAATTAAATTTATTTAATATTAATTTCTAGTTAAATAGGTTAGTAATTAAATTTAACAAAATTAAATCATGATTAAATAGAAAACAATTTATAAATATATCTATAAATATAAATTAAAAGTACGATTCTTAAAACTTTTACAATACAATAAAAATTACTAAAATGTTAGGATAAAATGTTAAAATATCAAAGTAATTAAGTATTAAAGTATCTTTAATCATGTACTTATTCTTGATCCATAGTCAAGCACGAAAAATAAGAAAAGTAATTGAAAGGTGAAAGCTCTTATAAATAAACACTTTATCTTATACATACAAAACAAGAAGGTAACCAAACATATAATAACAAATGTAAAAATACATTGCTAAAGTAAAATTAAAATTATATAATCATTTTAAATAATGAATAACTGCTGAAATATATATACCCATAAGTATTACACACTTCATACATGTTCTTGGTTCAAAATTTAGGTGTGTTTAAATTTGATACGTGGGTTCCTAATTATTACTTTGTTTACCTTTTTTTTTCTTTATAAATTTAATATTTTTAATGTTTCTTCAATAATTATATACTTACTTATTTTTCTTAACAATAAATACACATAATAATAAAAATCAAACGCGTGTGATTATATTAATTATTGATTAAATTTAAATAACATTAAAAAATTCAAATTTTGTATTAATTTAAATAAAATTAAATATAATTAAATTAATAATGTAATATTTCATGTCAAACCCCGAAAATAACATGTGTAAAGGGGTGGACAAATGTCTCAAAATAAGAAAGACAGATGTGTCAATAAAAAGAGATTTAGCATTTTTCAAAACGCAACGCATCTCTTCAATTCTCAAAATCTGCATCTCTCTAAAACACAAGCTTTTACCTTTTCTCCTCCATCTTCTCTCTAAGTGGTTGGTCCTAAATAGTGTATGGTCACTCCTTCAGTCTTATCTGTTATGAACCATTCGGTCCTGTCCTTCAGGAAGTGAGAAACTGTTCGGTCTCCACCAGTCTCAGAGTGTTCGGTCTAAGCCGATAGTGTTCGGCATAAGATAAAAACGTTCGGTTTAACTCTAGTTTTCGATTGTTCTACTATTCGGCCCTAAAACTGTGTTCGGCTCATGCTTGAGTCTTACTATTAAATGACCGTTCGGTAATGTTAGTATGTAGGGAGAGTTTCTATCATTCGGTCTTGTTAATAGGTTAGGTTGATCTTTTTCGTTCGATCGTGTTCAAGAATGATGGTTATTTTACTGATAAGTTTGATTATACTTAAATGTGATGGATGAGGAAGTATGTTGGTATTGAAGTATGGTATGATAATTCTAATGAAATGTGAAGATATGATAAGATACTTATAATATGGATATGAAAGAGTATTCCAAGGACGAATATCTCATGAATGGTATTGGAATGGTAAAGTATGAATGTGGACAAAGCTTAGCTAGCGTTTATCCTGATATTCTGTGATTTTTCATTCTCACGTAGAGAAGAGTAACTCATGTGTGGGAATGGCAGGAGGTCCTAGACCATAAGGTGAACTTGGGCGGAACGAACTAACCTTGGGTGGCAGCTATTGAGGGTATCCCAGTTATTACATCACCCAGGTGCAAAAACGTCGTAGCTACACAGAATTCATACAGTCCGGACAGTCAGAGTAAAGTAGTCGGTCATTGCATGCATTAACGTATAATTATGGTTGGAAATGTATGATTGGATGATTGCATGATTGACTTATTGATGTATACCAGATTTATGTGAAATGTATATTTTACTGAATTAATTAAATTACATAAGTTTACCCTTATTTTCCTGTCTTGACATGTGGTTCGTTCGGTTGTCCTTGTCTTTGCAATGATCACCCTGTGGGTGTGAGCAGAAGGTGCCGATGACTCTCTGGAGCAATCGCCGGAAGAAGAAGAAAGTAGCCTAAGAGCAAGATCGTTCGGTCTTGTATTCCTTTTGTATTAGTGTAGGACCGTTCGGTCAATATTCTTCCGATATGACCGATCGGTAAGCTCTTTTGATGTGTACTTGTATTGTTTTTTGTAAATTTTTAATTTATGATTATTATAGGATAACTTTAAGTTAATTTTATTCTTTTTGTAAACTGTTCTATTTTATTATAAATGTAAAAATTTTTAAATATAGTTTATAACTATATTTTTGGGATCTTACATTTCGTTTCATTAATTATACTAAAAATAAAATTTTATATATATTATAAACATCATGACGAAGTAATGTGAAACTATTTCATTGCATTCTTCAGTATCATATTTCTTATTTCTTAGTAAATACAGTATATGTGCTAGATTTGTTTTCCTATATTTTTTTTTGTTTGACTGTTCAAGGATAATGTATTTTTCCTTTGTTATTTTGTATATCCCTGGCCTTAATTATTTACTATATTACCGTATTAGAACATATAGAAATAAAACCTCCTTGTAATAATAGATTTTAGAAAACTAATCGAAACGATTTGTCATATTTAATTCTTATCAATTTGACTATTTGGAGTAATTTAAAACTGTGAAAGGAATGCATTTTCTTCCTCTCTTTTAACGCTAAAATATCTCTTCTTCTTATCTTTATCGATTTAATTTATAATTTTTTTAACTTGCCCGTTTTGATATCCTTAAAATTCATTATATCTTTATGCAAAAAATTGCTTAAATAAGTTTGAACATCCTTAAACATGATTATGGCACACAATTAGATAATTCGCGAACCTTGAAACTTGGAGGTCCTAGCTACAGTGGTTTTCCAACGAAGGAAATTACAAATAGTACATTTTTTTAATGAAACTGTAACCCAAAGTACAAACAGCCTGGCCAACTTCTGTAATTTTTCTCTTTCTATTCCCCAACTCATAACTAAACCAATCGAGCACGCACTCAATTGGTTCCTTATTCATTGCCCAAACTTTCGTACTCTGTACTTAATTTATACACATATTACCATGGAAAAAGATCAACATAAATTCATTTTAAATTGCATTTTTAGCTGTTACGTTGTACAATTTTTAAAATTCAGTTCTCACAAATTGAAAGAAAAATACTCAGTTTTAATATTCATACATACTTTTTAAGTTTTTTTTTTGCACTATAGTTCTTTTTTGTTACAATAATTTTTTTAAATTACTGGCATAACTCAATCCACCAATAAAATAAAATAAAATTATAAATAAAAATGATTATGTAGGCAAAATTAGTAAATAAATTAGAATTTAAATGATGAATAAATATTTTCGTGATAAAATATATGTTAGCATATTTTATTGATAAAATCTTTAAGTAATATAAAATTGTTATTTTTATTGACAGATTTTTTGTTGTCAATGATGGTGATGTGACAATTTTATCAGAGAAAGATAAAAAGAAATTGAAAGAAAAAGAAGAAGGCAACAGCGAAAAGAAAAATAAGTCACGATATTTTTAACAATTTTTTTTTTATTTTACAAATTACTATTATATATTTACTGATTAATTTTTTTTATAATTATAAAAGAAATTACTATTAGATTTTTAATAGTCACAATTATCGATAATTTTTCAATCCTTTAATAAAATTCATCAATAAATATTTTATTGACAAAACTTTAACAATCGATAAACACGATTGACAATTTTAATTTATTGACTGATTTTAACTACATATTTTAAAAATGGTTTAATAGCCAATTTAGTCCCCACTTTGGTTGAAAAATCTCAATTTAGTCCCTCGTTATAAAAGTGTTTTACATTAGTCCTAACTTTTAAAATAGTGGGTCAGATTGGTCCCTTTCGTTAAATATAAGTTAACGAAATTAATGGATGATGATGTGACACAGCTTAAAGCTAATGTGTTAGATTGGTCCCTCGTTAGCTTTAAGTTGTGTCACATCATCATCCATTAATTTTGTTAACTTATATTTAACAGAAAGGACCAATCTGACCCACTATTTTAAAAGTTAGGACTAATTCAAAACACTTTTATAACGAGGGACTAAATTGAGATTTTTCAACCAAAGTGAGGACTAAATTGGCTATTAAACCTTTGAAAATCATCATTAATACAAATTTTCTAGTAATGCTTTTACAAAATTCATGAGTAGTTTGTCTAGGATGAAGTATTGATGAAAATGTAGATTATTTGATGTACTCTTATCCACCGCATCAAATGCCGTTGACTGTTGATGCTATAACAGTAGTTGCAACTCGACCAACCAACTCTGACACCATTTTCATTCTCAGCTGCACTCTCTTCTTACTTTCACTGTGGTAGGAGCATAACTAAACACTGCAATCACATTTTCATAATTAAAAAGATACAAAGAAACAACAGACTACTATAACCAAGATCATAAACAAAAATAAACCATTATAAACTTCTATGCAAGAATAGCATTTCAAACAATTCATAATGGACTTAAATTTTCGTGTGACATTTATAGTCCAACACCATAAGGTAATATTGAAGATGTATAGCAATGATTTCTACATTGACTTGTGACAAGAAGTTAAGTTCAATCTGTTAAGTAATAACTCCTCGAGATTCAATAGTAAACATTAAAATTTCGCCACCCATACCAGTAGAAAGGAGAAGGTTCTATGATGAGCTTGATCACAATGATGACCCCATTCATATCTCCACCTTTCTGCTCCCTCTCTTGAACAAACGACAAACCAGTTCATGATGGCTAGCAGAAATGTCCAACCAAGCCATCAAATTCAAAATTTTGGAGAATCAATGATTCAGAGCTTCCTGTTCATATACATATACTACTTTCGTCATTAAAATAACGCAGAAAATTTCTAAACACTTAAATTGTTGAATATAAACCAGTTTTAACAAATTCTGTCTTAAATGTAAAATTAATTTTTTTCTTTTCTTTTTACTGAATAAACCTGTTCCTTATTCTTATTCCTGCAAGGAAAAGGAAAAAGCAAAGCAAAGAGGGGTCGCATATGGAATGATGCAGAAGAGAGCACGACAATAAGAGAACAGTTGAGAAACATTTATACCATAATAAATACACTCCACCCATCGTCCAAACCCTTATTACGTTTGTTATAGCTCAACTGTGAGGGATAATTTGTAAAGTCCCAATTACTACTATAGCTACCACTTTTGTTTCTTTAATTCCAAGCACATATTCTTCTCATCACGCCATGGATTTTCATGGCAAGGACACCCTCCTCAGCCTAATGGACACCGAAAAGTCAGAACCACCACAATCCCCTCTTCACCTTCATCTCCAAACCCACAGAGAGATAAGCGAACAAGACCTTCAGTTCAGTTCCCCAAGGCCTTCAAGCTCCGATGGCATGTTCCCTATCATGCCGGATTCACCATGGACACTTTCCCCTCTCCCAACCCCTTCGTCTTCTTTGCTTTACCACTGCATCGCTTCGCTCCACCGCCACGAAGGTAACATCTACGCAATCGCTGCTTCAAAGGGTTTGGTATTCACCGGCTCCAACAGCAGCAGAATCCGTGTCTGGAAGCAGCCAGATTGCATGGACAGAGGGTATCTCAAAGCCAGCTCCGGTGAGGTGAGAGCCATTCTCGCTTATAGCAACATGCTTTTCTCCACGCACAAGGACCACAAGATAAGGATATGGACCTTCACCGTTTCAGATAACTTCAAGTCCAAGAAACTAGGCACTCTCCCTAGAAAGAGCTCGATCCTCATGTTCCCCTCGAGAGGGAAGAACACGCCCAAGCACAAAGATTCCGTCTCTTGCATGGCGTATTACCACTCCGAGGGCCTCCTTTACACCGGCTCCCACGACAGAACAGTGAAGGCGTGGCGTGTTTCCGACAGAAAATGCGTCGACTCGTTCGGCGCACACGAGGATAACGTCAACGCCATATTGGTGAACCAAGACGATGGTTGTCTTTTCACCGGATCCTCCGACGGGTCGGTGAAGATATGGAGAAGGGTGTACACTGAAGACTCGCACACTCTCACCATGACTCTCAAATTCCAACCCTCCCCCGTCAACGCTCTGGCGTTGAGTTGCTCGTTCAACCACTGCTTCCTCTATTCGGGGTCCTCCGATGGGATGATAAACTTCTGGGAGAAGGAACGGCTGTGCTACAGGTTCAACCATGGAGGGTTCTTACAGGGTCACCGATTTGCGGTTCTTTGTTTAGCGACGGTAGGGAACATGATATTCAGTGGGTCAGAGGACACCACCATTAGGGTATGGAGGAGAGAGGAAGGGAGTTGCTACCATGAGTGTTTGACGATTTTGGATGGACACAGAGGACCGGTGAGATGCTTGGCTGCATGCCTGGAGATGGAAAAGGTTGTGATGGGATTCTTGGTGTACAGTGCTAGTTTGGATCAAACATTCAAAGTTTGGAGGATTAAAGTTTTGCCCGATGAAAAAATGTGCATGGACTACAGTGAGCAGTGTGAAGCCCCAAGGGTGAAGATCAGGGACTACGATATGAGCCCGGTTCTGTCGCCTTCTTGGGTGGAGAAGAAGCTTCAAGGTAGCTATTTCCAGTAGGATTAATGTAATTAATTAGTTACTGATAATCATCATTAATCGATAAGAATAACCATAATCATCTTCTTGCTCTTACACTTAAGATATACAATATGCATGTGTAGAGTAGTAGTGTCTGTTTTTGTGTACTTTTGATGATTTATGAACACTTACGTACCAACGCTATTCCTTGGTGAGGTAATGAAGAATGCAGCGCAGTGCAGACTTGCCATTAATGGTTCTCTTCGTGACAGAAGCTTCACTTCTATAACGTACGCATACCCATACTTTCTGATCAATATGCCACAATTCCTGTCAAAATCTGAATGAGTGCGGATTAATGGTTTATGACTTGAGAACGAATATGCAGAAGTGGGAAAATATGCAGATAATGAAAGAATACAGAGGGAAGAGAGAGCTAGAGAAAGTGACGAGCTTTTCTCATTAAACAAATGAATACAAAAACAACATATTTAAAACAAAACACTGTAAAGAAGACTTAAACTGTCAATAAAGACAGTTATTACAGTTATAAGATTCAGATGAATCTCAACACACCCTCCTTAATCTGAATTTCACATCAATTTAAACACCAAACAAATCTCAAGTTCTCAAAATCTGATCTTGCTTCAAGGCTTTAGTGAAAACATATGCCAGTTTGATCCAGTGCCGCAATGGACCAATTCCAATCTCCTTTATTAACTTGATCTCTCAAAAAAGAGAACTTGGTTTCAATGTGTTTACTTCTACCATGAAATACTGGGTTTTTAGACAGACTTATAGCTGATTTATTATCAACTAGAAGCTGTACCGGTTTTTTATATTCAATTTTCATCTCATCAAACATTGTTTCCAGCACAACATTGCAAGCAGTTTCAGCAGCTGCGATGTACTCTGCCTCACAGGATGATAGAGCACCACATTTTTTCTTGGAGCACCATGAAATTGTAGCTCCCATGTATTTGAAACAGATACCCAAACGTGCTTTTTTGTCAACATTTGTCACCACACCAATCAGCTACACCAGCCTCCAATGCTCCTCTGTATTGCAAGATTCTTGGGGGTAGAATAGACCAACAGTTCTGTTGTTCCCTTTAAGTAACGCAATATATGTTTGGACAGTAGCAAGATGAGATGACACTAGGATCATTCATAAATCTGCTCACCAGCCCAAACTCAAAACTAATATCAGGTCTGAGTTACAAATATATCGCATAAAGACCCACAATTTGCGTATCAGTTGGCATCCCACTCTTTCTCGTTCTAGTTTATCAGTCAAGTTTCAAATTTGCATGATTGCAGTACTGAAGCACTATGCAATTTTCCATATTAAATTCTCTAACAATTCACTTATAACCTCCTCTGTTAGAAAACACTCCATCATCTGTTTGTATGCATTCTTAGTCCCGAAAGTAGCTTAGACTGCCAAGATCAGTCATCTCGAATTATTCTTTCATTCTCTTCTAAACTCTTCAATTATCCACTGAATCTCTGTATAAGCAAATCATTCTACATACAAGCAAATCAGCAACATACCTTGCTTTCCTCCTTACTAGTCTTCACGTAGATACCAGTTCCACAGTCAACTTTGAAATTCAAGTTTGAGAGCAAGGCGGTTGATATGGGTGTTCCAGGTCGAGGTGCCTGCCTAAGACCATATAAGGCTTATTTAGTCTATACACTTTCTGCTCTTCTCCTTCTTTTTTTCAAAACCAGGAGGGTTGTCTTTAATAACCTCTTTCTTCTAATGGCCCATTCAAGATGCGGATTTGGAACATCCATTTGACATACTTTCCAGTTTTTAAAGTTGCCACTGCATCTACTAACCTCACGGTTTCCAGCCTTGCCACAGGAGCAAAAACATCTGTAAAAATCACTCCAGGCTTTTGCAAGAAGCCTCTCGCTACCAATCTGGCTTTGAACTTTGCACTTGCACCGTCTGGTTTGTGTTTTTGATCTAAAACCCATTTAACGTCAATGGGATGTTTATGCTGAGGTAATTCCACCATATCCCAAGTTTGTTTTTCTCTATGGCCTTTAATTCCTCCAACATGGCTTCTCTCCACTCCTTTACGTCGATAGCTTCTCCCAGGTTAGTGCTTCTGTGTCGGCCAAAAACGCAAAATGCACAAGATCACCTGAGCTGGTAACGTTACTATCTAGAAAGACTTCATGATCTGCAGTCTGGGGATGGAACCTGTCTCTTGTGATCTTCTATTGTTGACTTCACCGATTTGCAGCTGTCTGCTCAGCTTGGATGGAACTCGTATCTTCAAGCCAACTTGGAACATAGCCTATTCAGACTGTTGGTCCCCCACTCCCCTCCCCCGTACCCGCCTTCTCCCCACATCAAAAATTGCAGCCTATATCTAATCACATCAGCGGCTAAGGACAATCTGCCTTGTTCATGGGATTGTATAACCTGTAGGCACTATGTTGGATGGTAGCCACAAGAATGAGAGTCTCACTCTTATCGTCCAGTTTCTTCTTCTTCATCTGGGGAATGTTTTGTAGCACAATAGATCGACGAAAATTCTCAAGTGGAGACAGTCGGTTTAATTTCCAGACCAAGCCTCTTCAGGATACACTCTGACAGGGCCTTTGTTGGACTTCTATTTAGCAAGTAGACCCAGTAGACAACAGCCTCTCCCACAAACAATGCGGGGCAGTTCTTAGCTTGAGCTACCCTCGTCATGTCAAGTATCATCCTATCCTTCTTTCGGCTAAGCCATATTATGCTGGGGGGTATATGGCCGTGACTCGTGCACAATGCCTTTATCAGTACAAAACATTGTCCATCTCGACAGAGTTAAACTCTCACCTCTCCATCAGTTCTAAAAAACTCTGATCTGTGAACCAGATTGTCTCTCAACCAAAGAACAAAATTCACAAGTGTGAGTACCACCTCTTTTTCTCTTTCAAAATAGATCCACATTTCCTAGTCCATTCATCTACAATATTAAAAAATATTTGTGACCTCAAATGAAAGGAAGAAACGTCAAAGGGACCGCAAACATCTGAATGAATACGTCCAGAGACGCTTCGATCTCCTGGGTGCGCTTTTTCAAATTTCCTTTAGGTGTTTTTCCAACGTACAACACTTCACAGATTCTCTCTGGAACAATATGACGCACACCTTTCACTAATTCTTTTTCTTTTAGTTTGACTCAAACTTTTGAAGTTCAAGTTGCCCGTATCTGAAATGCCATAACCTCCTCTTCTTCTGTGGTTTAAGAGGAAGGATAAGCATTGTACTGATGTAGCATTCAAATTCACTTTGAAAGTTCTGTCGAGCAAAGTGGGCTTAATCACAGGACGCTGTTTGCTGTCAAAACACTTCTATGGTTTCGATGCATAGAAAATATACCCTTTCTCCAGGGAGTTGCCCCAAACTCAGTAGGTTGCTCTCATGTCGGAAAGTATAGACATCATCCATATACGCCAATCTTGCCATCTTTACAGCTGATCAGATCTGCCAATTCCTTCTGCCTTAATGAGTGATGTTATCCGCGAACCTCACACAAGCTCTTTATCTGAATCAAGTCACCAGCCATCTCGTCTCTACCTGTCATGTGATTCGAACAACCCGTGTCCAGTACCAGCTGCATGAATCATCATTCGCCAGCTTGGTTTACATCGTTGGAGAGCAACGCCGTGCAGGTTGCTTCATGTCTGCATGTCTCGTTGCCGTCCGAAGACGACACATGTCTCCACTTCTTCTATGATTGACCTCGTGCTTCATGCACCATGTCCACCGAAACCATTTCTTGCTTACAAACATGTTCAAGTCAATTTTCACATTTCTTTTCCGGAATCGTGCCACTGTGCATCATCAACACTACGTGGTCAGACTCCGATTCTTCAGTTGCTTGGAGAAAGATTGGCTTGACTCTCACATTTTGTTTTCTTCGATATCTTCTTGTCCAACCCAAGAGGAATAATGGCCGTATTTCTGCATTGTGAAACATTGGACTTTCTCTTTATCATACCCTTTTCGGCCTCTACCACATGGAAATGTCTGCCCCCGCCAATTCCATTCTTCGGCTTCACCGCCATTGCTGTCACTGTTTTGATCTGAAAATTTCGAATTTCTGCCAACCACTGCGTCCTCCCGCGTGATCTTCCTCTTCCTCTCCACGATTTTGAAGCTTTGATGGCTTTTGCTTGCAGGCCTGGTTCGTTCCTTGTGCCACAGTTTTTTCTGACGTTCCTTCTTTCTATCAACCTTTGTTCATGGGCTTCGAGAGAGTTTTGCAACTCCTCAATCTTCATTTTATCAAGATCCTTACATTCTTCTATCGCAACGACTATGTGATCGTATTGAGGAGTCAACGTTCTAAGAATCTTTTCAACCATCTTCTTATCTTTCACAATTTTATCACAGGCCCTCATCGCGTTTGCAACAATTTGAATTCTGCCAATATATCTGCAATCGTCTCATTCTCTCCCATGCACAGAAGTTCGTATTGCCTCTGTAAAGATTGCAGTCTTATCGTTTTTACTTTCCCGGAATTTCTTCATACCCTTCTGCAACAATATCCATAATTCCTTCGCCGTGGCACGCCTTAGACACCTTCTGAAAATATCTTTCGCAGATCTGACATTGGTGGATGAGTAGTAGCATCCTGGCTTTACAATCCAAACGCGTTATTCTCCATTATATTCTTTTTCACAGTCCTCCATGTCGTTCTTTCAAAAGGTTCTTTAACCTTTTGTCACAATATCATCTACTTCTTGGTCGCCAACGATTGCCCATAATGTGGACGCACCAATCGTCAAAATCTTACCAATCAAACACCGAAGATTGTGTGAAACCTACAGCCATCGCTGTCAACAAGATTCTTTTATCATCGAGCTCTAGATACCACTGTTATGACCTGAGAACGATTATGCAGAAGTGGGAAATATGCAGATAATGAAAGAATAAAGAGGGAAGAGAGAGCTAGAGAAGAGTGAGAGCTTTTCTCATTACAAATGAATACAAAACAACAGTATTTAAACCAAAACACGTGAAGAAGATTAACTGTCAATAGACGTTATTTACAGTTTATTCAGATGTAATCTCACAATAATAACCACAGTGTTTAAAAAAAGTAAACATTTGGCAAATTTATGTATAATGTTTATCTAGATAGCATGTGTGCTAATAAAAAATTTACTTC